TTTTTTTTTTTTTTTTTTTTTTTTGTTGCTTGATTGTGCTTTATTTGGACCTAAATGTCGTTAGCATATTTGGCTTACAATTGGAAAATCAAAATACCAATTTCCCTGTATATTTCATGCATTGTTGGACCTTTGTACCCTTAACTAAGATATTCAGATTGTGCATGTGTGTGTATGGACGAAACTTTTGTATCAAGTGATCCAGTTACTGCTTTTTTGCTGGATGAGAAGGTTGTCGAGGATTGGTGCAGGCGGGCGTTCAAAAATATCTTGACAGAACTCCGGAATACATGTATCCTAAACTAAATTCTAAACCCCTGACAGATTCCTATAGATTGTCTGACTAGAACACCGTGAATTTCTTGCTCACCTTGACATTCTTTATAGATAGTCTTAGTGTAGCTGAGATGAAACCAAGATTAACATCGCTTCAGAAAATGTCTTCGAATTTGTCAGCCATGGGCAATGTTATTGAAGTGTTGGAATCTTCAGTTGAAGGCTCTGCTTCAACCGTGCTGCAGGGCCTGAATCACCTTCAGGAGAGCATATCAAGGACGAAACAAGTAATATCTTTATTGTTTTCCTTCTCTTTTAAAGACTCCTTTATTCCCTCTATTGTACTACTACGCTATATCGAGATCAGAACACATTTGGACTATATGTGCATAGTCATATATCAGTGTTGTAATTTATTTTATAATGCTTTATTTTATAATGCTTCAATATCCAAATTATTTGGCATCTTTTTTATTATATACCAAATCATTTATTCAAACTGTATCTGATATTGTATTTTATTATCCTGTTAAATTGCCAGTTTCAATGTCATTGCCATTTTCTTTCAACTTATAAGAATATAATATCTGAATGAACCTATCTGGATGTTTAATCTTGTTTGTTTTATAGGCTGGTTTTGAGAGGGGCCTTCGCTAACCAGTTATCTACATCTGTCTATCTAATCCCTTGATTCATTTTCCAAAATATAAACAGCACTTGCAGATCATGATGTGGTGCATCAAACATCAATTTCTGGATAGTGTGAGGTCTAGGCATTCTGATTTCGAGTCATGGCGTTCATCTGTCCGTGAGAGGAAATCTGAAGCAATTAAGAGAGCATGGCCTGATACAGAGAATCCTATTCTGGAGTCAAGTGAGCAGAGTACATCTAGTCTCTTTATTGAAGATGCACTTTCAAATCTTGATGCAGATCAAGAATATGCTGATAATGATAAGGGGGAACTATCGATTGAATCACTTGTGAAATCTGGGGTCAACTCTTTTTCTCTTTCAAAGTTACATGGAATGGCAGCTTGCTACCCTTTCGAAAATGTGTGTGCTGCTGTTGACTTGCTTTTCTTACGAGGGAACTCTGATTTGGTGGTTTCCAAGCAGGCTATTGTATCCATTTCCTACCTATATTACAGTATGTTTGGTTATCGATGATAAGAGTTTCTTAGGTTTGAATAATTGGTGTTCAGTATGTTATTTTACATGTTAATATTCCTTAACCTTTGACACAGTTTCTGTATTATCTTTTTGATCGGCACTGGACAATACCGATTGATGAGTGGAGACCGATTGTTGATGACTTTGCTGTCACATTTAATATAACAAGGCACTCTTTGCTGGAATCTTTTGTCTTCTATCTTTTGGATGACCACACTGATGAAGCTCTAAAGGTATTCTACTATGATTACTACAATCATCTTTCTTAAGCAGTTGTCGGAACTACTTTAATGACATGCATTTGACAATATTAAATAATGAAAAATATTGGCAGCATAGCATGGCAAAAGGAGGTGTTTAGTGATCTTGTGTTATGTGACTTTCCAACAATGCTCTGTGCAAATTTTCTTTTTCTTTTTTATTGTTTTCAGTGTCCGTCGCTATATTTGTACGCATGACATATTAGTGATGGTTTCAATACTTTACATGCTTATAGTGACCTGTGCTATGGTGGATCTGTAGGTTTTTAATCCCTCTCCGTGACAGAGTTTAAGCTTTTATTGGATTTAAAGTATGGTTTTCTTTTAAGAAAACCATGAAAAATGAGAAAATAGAAGAAACAAGGTAAAAACATAGATGGCAAAAATGACATTCACAAATGAAGTCTGAGGTGGGTGTGAGTATGTTGACTCTTGTTAGTGTGATGAAGTTCATGGACTCATGGATTAAGAGCAATGAGTATAATTAATTATATTTATTCTGTTTTCTTTTTGAACTTTGTTAGAGAACTGATGTCCACGGCTTTCTCCAATGCGCTCATTTAAATTTGTGGATTGGTCTCAGTAGATTTTCTTTCCATACAACTGAACTGAACCTTTTAGCTTTGAAAATAACTATGAGATTAGAATCTCTCCGTGTCTTTTTAGCTCTTGTTATATTATCGCCATATTGATTTTTACTCATGATTTATATTGTTAGGAAGCTTCGCACCTTCTTCCTGAAATTGCTTCCCCAAACACCCATCCTAAGGTCGCGCAAGCACTCTTAGAGAGGCAGAATCCCGATGCAGCTCTTATGGTTTTGAGGTGTTCAGGAAAAGATGGGGGAGCAACATTAGTTTCACCTAGGGAAGCTGTTACAGCTGTCCGGGTTCGGGTGGAGTGTGGACTTCTGACTGAAGCATTTATGTACCAGAGAATGATATGCACAAAGATCAAGGATAAGAAACTTTCGGGTGCTTATGATGATGTGACCTGCAATTGGCTGCTCTGGCTGGAGGTCTTGGTTACTGATTTTGTTTGCCTTTGTATCCGGAGGAACTTAGTTGATCGGATGATAGAGTTGCCTTGGAATTCTGATGAGGAAAAACATCTTCATAAGTGTTTGTTTGAATTCGGGATGGACGATCCTTCGTCAGCTGTTGGAAGTCTTCTTGTGGTCTACTATCTACAGGTACTTCTGTCACTTGGCATGCTCCTCAATGTGATTAACAATCTTCACAATTGAGTAGTTATTTTTCTCAATATTTTGAAATTCTGTATGCCTAGTGCCTATAAAAGTTACTTAGCAGAATTATCTTCTTGTCTGTGGCCTTTACTCTGTGGTGCTTTGTTTTCTGTTTCTAGTTAACATGTATTTTTCATTGCTTTGTTTTTGAGGAACTACTTAATATGTCTTCTTTATTGCTTAGCTTTCTTTGTGCAATTTCTTTGTTCATAAGACTCAGTTGTACCATCTATAACATATTAGATATAAATTTGGTACCCATTGTGTGTCTAATACATGTAAAGTAGTTTAACAGTCATTTTGTATTGAACGATCCTGGATATAAAGAGGACTTAGGGTGTGATTGGATATGGATTTGATTGGTATTTTGTTAACCATAATTAATTTTGAAAAATGTGGTATGTTTAGTTATTAGTGGAAATTTTATTTTGAGTTAAAATATTATTTAAAGTAAAATAAATAAAGTTGATTTGATGTAAAAATAGGGAGAAAATGATTGGAAGTGATGGTTAGTAAAAATTATGTGAGTGGACGAATAGTGAATTATAGTGATGTGATGTGTAAGAATGATTGGTTGATATATTTAATTATATTTATAATATTGAAGATAGTGGAGTTGAGTTAAAGTTAAAACTATATTTGAGTTTTGATTTTTTTTTTATTTTTTTATTTTTTTGGTTGAGTTCATAACCAGTAACACCCTTATTATTTGATAACTGTAATAAGCTACATTTGTAAGACTTTCATACTGCATATATGTGCATGAATGCGATACATATATTTTCAGCTACGGAGTTATCTTAACATTAATATACGCAAGTTATGTTTAGCTATCAAGTGACTCAATTTAGGCAGCTAAGGATGATTGGATATAAAAAATTTTGGTTTTGTTTGGGTTTTTTTGTTTGGTTTGGTTAGTTTTGAAAAAGTTGGTATGGTTAGTTGTTAGTGTGTATATTAAAATAATATTTCAATTAAAATGATTAAGCTGATTTGATGTAAAGTAGGAGAGAGAAGATTTGAAGTGATGGTTAGTTAAATTATGTGAGTGGATGGATAGTGAATTAAGGTAATGTGGTGTGTAAGAATGATTGATTGATATTTTTAATTATGTTGATAATATTGATGATAGTGGGGTTGAGTTAAAGTTGAGTTAAAAAAAATGGTTGAGTTAAAAATATTTACATTTTTTTGAAAAATTTTGTATCCAAGCATGCTCTAAGTCGTGTGTTGGTTTGTATCTACATTTTTATTCATTATAGCCTATTTCAAGTAATTCAATGACTACATAAATATCATTCTTTCACTCTTTCAGCGCTATCGCTACATTGAAGCTTACCAAGTGGATTGTAAGCTTCAGGCAGTGGAGGAAGATTTCATGTCAAAGAATATGAATGATGAAATATCTATTAAAGTGAGATCGATGAGTCAATGGAGGAAGGGATTAGTTGTAAGTTGTCTAAGTACTATTTCAAGTATTATTAGTTACTTATATTCTGCTCAATTGTGTGTTTTTTTTTTTCTTATCATTCTTACATCTTGGTGTTGGATGATGAAGAAAGAATATTTTTTGTTGTTTTCTGTTTGCAGAGCCAAAGTGTGGAGTTATTGCCCGAAATCCTCCAACTAAAACTGAAGGCTGGAAACTTGCCAGAAGTCGGTGTTCTTCGTGATTCTGAGAATCCTGAAGTGCAATCTAATATTCCGAAAATACAAGAACCCGTCTTCGGGAGTTTGCTGTTTAACGCTCCAAACCTGCAATTGCAAAGTAATGGCTTCTTACATCCCCCGTCTTAATCAGAAGTCTTTAACTCTCTCGTTGTTTATCAGGAACTAAGTTGACAAAAAACTCTCCGTTTTGTATTTTGCTTCATGCATATTCCTTGTCGATGGACTCAACCTATAACTGAATCCATTTTTCTCGGCTGTGCTTTCTGTACTTAGTTTAAAGGAAATGACGTCTTCATTCAATACTTAAGCTCTGTGGTTTTGCTGTTTGTAGTTACATCCCAAGAGAATATTTGTCGCCTTTTAAGAGTGTGTTTGGTAAGCACCGTTTATAGCTTATTTGGTTAGCATATAAGTTTCTTTGTATTCAAATAATCTTGGTTTGGTAGGGTGAGTTTATTTAAAAAGCTCGAGTTTATTATTCCATAAGCTTCATTTGGTAATTTTTCGGATAAGTTAGATGAAATTTTTATTTCAGTAATTTTACCAAACACTTTTATTATATAAGCTAATTTTTCAGCCATAAGTCATAAGTTATCATATATAAGCTTGAAATTCACTTATAAGTTATTATAAGTTATACTAATTTTGAGTGCAATTAGAAATTGATTTCAAGGATTTCTATAGTTGGTTGGGGTTATCTGCCAAGATATATTGGTTGAGAATAACATTAACGGTTTTGCTATGAAGCCAACAATTGGCTCCACTATGAAACCAACTGTTGGTTTTATAGCAAAACCGATAACATTAACGTTCAAATAATATATTCAAGGATTTTCTTGAAATCGAGTTATATTCTTCCATTATTATCTATTTAAGTTGAGGCAAGCGCTGCCAAACACAAGCTATTCCATGATGTATGTTATTCCATTTTTACAAGAGGATTTTTGAAACTATATGTACAAAAAATTTGGTCAAAGATGGACATTGGCAGGATTTTAATTAGGGTAATGAATCAACCTGTTCACAGAGATTTTAACCGTTTGATCTCACAAACACACCCGTGCATTTGTGTGTCGATCAGACGGTCAAAATTAAAACCCTCACGTCGAAAATCACCAAAAAAAAGTGATCAAACAAAACACTGAAATCATTTTGAACAATACCACATCTCAAACAGTTCCAATGATCTGATCAGTTACTTAAAAAAACAATAATTTGGCAGAACACAGCCTTACCTTCCTACATGGCAGAGATTCCAGTTAACCATAATTAGATTACAAACCTTATTAGCAAACCCTAATCAACAAATATATCACTTACCGAGCCACTCTAAACGCTACATCATAATCTTATATTGACAATAGACCAATCTCCCGAGCCTAAAAGGGATTTTTTTTTTTTTCGTTCAATTTTTTCTCCTCATTAAACGGCATGAATCGGACTGTGACTAGATTTCATGCCTGAACTATCGGAAGGCGGATTATTACTAGCATGGAAAGCAGATGGCCTAGTTGACGAGCCCTCAACCAGCTTAAGAGAGAGAGTATTGGGCCCACCATCACCCAGAGATTCCCCTAGACTCAGTTTAGACATGCCAACTAACTCATCCACGTTGATTGGGCTCTTTGTGTGAACGGCTGTGGGCTTCACTACCTGGTGGGCTTCTTCCTTGATGGGCTCGGGATTGAAACCAGTGGGCCAGAACTGGACGGACATTGGGAAGACTGGGCCCACGTAAGCAGGGTAGACAACAGGGTAAGGGTACGTGGGGCCCTCTGGTGCGGGGATCACGATTTCTCCATCATTAGAGTTTGCAGATTCCATTGACTCGCATTCTTCCTCCATGGGAGGTACGAGTGGTGGTGGGGGCACGGGAGGTGTGCTGCTTTGAGCATCAGCTTGCTGAGAGTTTGCAGGGAAAAAGTCTCGGGACATTGCTGCAGAAGAAGCATCAAGTGGCTACAAAAATCAAGATGGACAAAAAAGAGATTAGTCGTACGATTATTTTTTACCCTTCCCACATAGGAACACGCGTTGCAAAAAAAAAACTTTGAAGATGTTTACGGTTCTATTTCAAGGTTTTTAGGCGTGCTTGTTTACAAATATATATGCTCAAAATGAGTTTTTTTCAATTAATAAGGGTTAATTATGAAAAAAAAATGGATGGTTAGTTGTTAGTGGAATTTTGATTTTATATTAAAATCAAAATCATTATAGCCGACCCCACTTAGTGGGATTTTAACAGCTTGTTGATTGATTGATTCAAATAATATTTAAAATAAAATAATTAAAAATTGATTTAACGCAAAAGTAAGAGAGAAATAATGTAAAGTGATAGTTAAAATTATTTAACGGATGAATAGTGAATTAAAATTAATGTGATGTGTAAGAATAATTGGTTTGTATTATTTAATTATACTGATAATATTGACGTTTAGTTAAAGTTGAGTTTTTGAATATGAATTGAACGTGAATGAATTATTTTGTAAACAAACATGCCATAAGTTATTCAATTGTTTTGTAAGGTCTTCCATTTTTTTGGTATTTTTTTATTTTTATTTTTTTAGGAAAAAGCTGCCTATATTACACATTATGTATAAAGCTAACAAAGGAAAAAATAATGGTAAACCTCATCAGCCACAATATCGAACAGGCTCGAACGTCTTTTCCTCCTCGACACATTGCTTTGCCTGATGAAGTACTTCTGTGCATGGCTGGCAACTTGAGTAGGTGTTCTCGATATGACATAGTTCCTTGCAATGCCACGCCAGTCACCTTTGCCGAGCTTTTGCAGCCCAACCAGAAACAACCTGTGTTCCTCTTCTGTCCATGGGACACCTGTAATATTAAAAATTAGTTTAGATAGTTTGAAAAGGCAAATACGAGCAACAAGTGAAACAGTTAAATGAATGATAAAACCGTAGGTAAATTTGTCGAGCCATGCCACACTCTCATATACCACTCGATTTAACCTTAATGTAACCAAAATATTCTCTAACTCTTGTACTTCTTTTTCTCAATATATAACCACTATCCTTGTCCATTGTTGGAAGAGTCATTGTTGACAATTCTCATGGCATAGTGCTAATAATGGACTAGATCAAAATGACTCAATTAAATTCTAGTGCTTCTTCTTCTATTAGTGAAGTTTCTAGAAAAAAAAAAATAAAAATATATCAAACGACATCTTGGGTCGCTACGGAAACAGCCTCTTTGTATAATTACAAGGGTAAGGTTTGACTGACCCCCAGACCCCAACTAGTTGGGAATATACTGGGTATGTTGTTTTTTTATATAACCACTATCCTTCATTCTCCCACTCATATCTCATTTACATAATGTGTAGGACACTATGCTAAAACATTCACAGATAATAAAAATTAAAAGAAATTACATCAATATAAATCAAGAAGCACCAAGCTGCAAGTGCTGGTATCTATCCATTTTTCCAACTCCAGAATCACTTGATGCGAACATTAAAATTCGAGGTGCACGCAAAAGTAACATCAAATCAGATATATTAGAAAAAAAATAAAGGAAACGGCAAACAACCCCTGATCAACACTCTTCCCCTGATTGTGATCACGAAAAACCGGCTTCACACAACTAAGTAAGCCTCATGAATGGAGCACCAACATATGCAAAACATGCATATTATTAATGACACAAACACAAGACCATACAATAAACATTTCAAAAACACAACACACACACACACACACACACACATACCAGAGGCAAGAACCTTGAGTAAATATCATAATTCATGGAAGAAAACGAATGTGTATTCGATATTTCTACAGCTACAAGCATATTAAACCGTAAACGGCGCCTTCTTGATTTGGTTTTTCGATTTTATTTCCTCCCTCTTTCCCTTTTGACTCTGT